AATGATGAAAATGTAGCTGCGGCCTAGGCGCGGCGGGGGGGCCGTGCACCAGGGGCCCCAACAATAATTATTCTTAAGAAGAAATAATGTTCAACAACACAACAACAATAACAATATCAACAACAACACCAGCAGCAACAGCAACATCAACAGCAACAACAACAACGACAACGACATCGACGACAACAACAACAACATCATCACCAACAGCCACAACAACAACAACAACAACAATCACTTTACCCGAACGCTCAGTGTTCTCACCAGTGCCAGGGTTTTCATGCGACGCCAGCCAATACCCCCACTTTGTGGGGGGGCAGTGCAAGCTCTACCAAATATCCACACGACTCTTCGCCACCACCCACACCCAGCTTCCCGCCCTATGACGTTCGGACACTTCACTTCGTGGCCTGCGGACGACCGTGGCTACTACACTGGCATAGTGTACACACCCACATAAGTTGTTAATCCTACGTTCGTACACCCACAGAAGTTGTTAAGCCTTGTTAACCCACAGAAGTTGTTAAGCCTTCCACAGAACATCTGTTGCATATGATGCATATGGTACATGATACACATGATACACATGATACGTACTCACAAGATAGTTGATCACATCTTTAGGGCAAATTCCTGAGGGATGTGGGAATACACAAGAGAGAGAGGATATGGTTGTCCCGCATGGTATTATTTGACAGGGATGATGGCCCTGGCAGGTGCGCAACCGTTGTCGCAGAAGTTCGAAAAAGTTGCTCGCAAAAGCCCGTTTGACAGAAATGTTTAAAAAGTGTTGGGTTTCCTACGAATCCGCAAGAGCGCGCGGGATGAGATTTTGACATTTTTTTGTTGAAAAACCATTGGTTTTTTGATGTTTTTATGTTAAAATCGCTCCGAACACTAAGCTTTTGGAAGGATTTCGTCTTGCGCGCGCGAATGTCCACTTTACCTTATTTTTTGCAAGGGATTCTTGAAATTTGATTATATTAGAACAAGAAATGTCATTTTATAGTGTTTTTTGCAAGGGAAAACGGATTACAACAAAACAACCGGATCTTGATGACATCGTATTACCTGAGGCTTCCTCACGAAAATGATGAAAATGTAGCTGCGGCCTAGGCGGCGCAGGGGGGCCGTGCACCAGGGGTCCCAACAATAATTATTCTTTAGAATTAATAATGTTCAACAACAACAACAACAACAACAACTGCGTAAACGTAAACTCTGGGAGGTCCGCGCGGATCTCTCGGAGCGGCGCTGGCCCTCCTCCCCGGGCGCGCGGAGCGCGCCAGGGGCGGCGGCCGGACGCGGTGCCCCCAGTGCCGACCCGCGCAATCCTCGCGGAGCTCCAACACATGCCGTCTGTGTCTGTTGAGAGGACGACCAAAAGAAATGGGTCTTACCCGAGATGCGTAGCGACCCTACGCCGTGGCTCACGCAGGCCGCCAGCGCGGCACGCTACACTGGAGACGAGGGCGCTCACGCGCGACCTTACGCGGGCAGCTCTCGCGCAAATGTCGGTAAAGACGACCCCGTCGTTCTGCGTCGCTCACTTGTCGATCCCCGAGGCCTGCCCCTGGTCCAGGCCAGACTGCGGAAGCTCTGCGAGGTGTCCGGGCGGAAGGTGCAGGCTCTCCTCTGGGACGCCTCGCGCTGCTCGCACCACTCCTGCGTCGCCAGGGCCCGCCGCGGGACGCCGGCGTCGGCTGCTCGGGGCGGCGCGGCGGAGTCGACCACAGGGTGGAAGGGGCACAGCTCCCTCTCCTGCGCCTGTACGACGAGGCCAGGACAGGGACAACATCGGGCAGGTTTACATGAGGGATCTCTGGGATCTGGTGGCTCTGGAAAATGTATCGGGCGCCGCGGCCTTCTCAGAAGCATTGCGGAACGCTCTGGAACGGATCTGCCCTCGTCCTGTCGCCCCGCCCGAGCCTCCCTCTGCCGGCGCATCTGGTGCAGGCGGTACTCGTGCTGCTGCCTCCACAGCTCGCCCCGGCGCAAGAACAACGACGGCGACCGCGGGGACAAGCTGGAGGGTTCCTCCACAGGGGACGAAGAAGCACGCAAGCCGTCGACTGCCGGAGGGGTTCGCGTGAAGTTCCTGTGTCGGCGATGGCCCCCCGCCCCACAAGCCTTCGGGTGCGCCGAACAGGGGACCAGGATGGTAACAGGTGATACGTCGACCCCCATCCCAGGCTTTGGGAGGTTTTCGAATGGACCAGAGACTTGGGGCCCAACCCTGGGATATACGATAGGGGGGCCTCCGTCCTCGAGAGGTACGTCCGAATAGCAACCTTGAGGAATACCCCTGGGTTTCCTTGTTGTTCTGACCTGCCAAAAAACTTCTCATGGGACGCACAAGCGCACGTGGACATACTTGTACTATGTGTCCTCCTCGGAGGCGCGCGCCCGACATGAACATATAGCAGAACCGTATTGTTGCATACCCTCTCCCGAGAGGTATGGCCCCAAGACGCGCCCGCCACGGAGCTTACACTTTAAGACTGTAAGCGAAAACGCCGGAGGGGGGGCTTGAGCCCCCAGTGGTCCGCTCGAAAGGACCACTCCAGCTCCATGAGGCGCCGCGGTCCATCAGTAGACCATCGGTGGACTGCCGCTTGAGTGGTCCACGCCAACGCGCGCGTCGCCCCTGGGAGGGGGCGACGCTGGTATGCTGTAATGGTGCGACTCAAGCGGATCTCGGGATTTGAGAGGGCTTGGTTTTCGGGCGCTGCCTTGTGTGCATCGTGTTATGTCGGGCCTGTCCCCCTACAAGGGGATTTCGGATGACAAACAAAAAATGCGCAAAACATGTTTTCGAATATTCCCCCTGTGGAGGGACGGGCCCGACTTGAGCATCGTGCCTGAGGCTGGGCTGGAGAAACAACAACTCGGTGACTGTGGAAGCAAGACATCGCCTGCGAGACGAGGCACTTGGCGAGCGTCCTGGTTCGAGGCACGTGCCCGGACGGAGGAGGAGGAGGAGGAGGAGGAGGAGGAGGAGGAGGAGGACGGAGGAGGAGGAGGAGGAGGAGGAGGAGGAGGAGGAGGAGGAGGAGGAGGACGGAGGAGGACGAGGAGGAGGAGGAGGAGGAGGAGGAGGAGGAGTCCTGGTTCGAAGGGGGGGAGGCGAGGCCCAGGCCATGAGAGGACGGAGCTCCCGTGGCTCCGGCCACGGCACGCACTGGCCCGCAGTCCTCACCCGCCGGGCGACGAAGACGACGGCGAGGGCGAGGACGATGACGGCGACGACGGCGACGGTGACGACGGCGACGGTGACGACGGCGACAACGACGACGGCGGCGACGACGGCGGCGACGACGAAACCGACGACGATTGGCCGTGGCAGCCTCCCGCGCAGCGCCGACCCGACAAGGCCGCGGACCCCAAGACAACATCAGCCATCGCTGGGAAGAGACGAGTAGACGCGTGAGGTAGAACGGTCTCGAACAGAGCTTGGGTTTCCGACCGCCCCCTTGTGAGGGAACGGAGTAGAGGAACCGCTGGACTGATGGAGTAGGAGGGCGCCTGAAGTAGCAGATCTTCAGCAAGCGACATGTATGTCTCATCGTTTGGACGAGATGGGTAGACGCAGGAGGTAGAAACGTTTCGAGCATAATTAGATTGGGCTTCCGACAGTCCCCCTGAGAGGGAAGGGAGTGGACGAACCGCTCGACTCTTGGAGTGGGAAGGCGCCTGAAGCAGCAGATCTTCAGCAAGCGACAGGTATGCCTCTGTCGCTTCGGAGGAGCGAAGCAGAGACAATCCTAGCTGCCGGCCTGAGGGAACCGCCCCCTGGCGCCCCCCCCCCCCCCGGGAAGGCGCCTGAAGCAGCAGATCTTCAGCAAGCGACAGGTATGCCTCTGTCGCTTCGGAGGAGCGAAGCAGAGACAATCCTAGCTGCCGGCCTGAGGGAACCGCCCCCGGGCGCCCCCCCCCCCCCCGAGTCCCGCCCCCGCCCCCCCCGAGCGGTGAGGCCCTGCGCGCGGTGCCCGAATCCGAGTACCGCGCGCAGGCCACCGCCGCCGGAGGGCGCGCTTCCCTCGGGCCGGCGGCCGCGCCCATGACCGCGAGCGCTTCTGCGGTGCCGCGCTCCTCGGGCCCCCGCCTCGAGAGGGACGCGGAGACCCGCGTGAGCTCCAGCTCCTCCGGCCAGTACTGCTGCCGCTGGTGCCGCCGCAGCTCCCGCCGCTCCTCGCGGGACGCCTCGCGGGAGGCCCCGCGCCGCGCCGGGCTGCCCGCGCGCGGCGCCACGGCCCGCGGCGACTCCGGCGGCCCCGCGCGCGCCGCGGGCTGGAACAGGCAGGAGCTGTCCGGAGGTCCCAGGAGGAGGCCCTGGGGCACAGCCCGGAGGCCCCGGCGTCCCAGTGTCTTCGAGCCGGGCGTTTTTTCAGGTGCTGGGCCCCGGGGGCATGGCGGATCGATGCGGCGCAACAGCGGCGCAGCCAGATGGGGTCTGGAGGGCTGCGGTCGTGGTCTCTTGCATCTGTCCGCAATCGACGGATCTCGGGGAACGAGCCCTCCGGGCCTCTCGCGGAACCTTGGAGCCCCTGGCAGCCCACTGGAGGGCCCTCGCGAGGGGGCGCTGCCAGAGGCCTCTGGCCTCCCCGAGGGAGCCCGGGAGCCAGAGGCCTACCAAATGGGGTCCGAGTAGATGGGGTCGGAGGTACGCGCTGCATCGCCGGCGGTGCATCCATCGGCGACGCCGGCATGGAGACATCGGGCCCCGCATCGAGCCGCATCGCCGATGCATCGGCGATGTGGCGTGATCCTCCGACCCCACCTGCTCCGACCCCATCGAGGTGCCTCGAGAGGAGCACACCCTCTGGGCCACAGGGACGCCCCCCCTTGGCAACCGCCCGAGCTGTGGCAGCTGCTGCTGCTCCCCGCGAGGCTGTGCCGCGGGTCCCCGCCGCCGCGCAGCCCGCCCGCGACGCCCGCGGCGCCCGCGCGCGCCGCGGGCGCGGCCAGGGCCGCCCCGCCGCCGCGCGGCCACGCCGGGGCCTGGGGCAACCAGAATCAGGTATACCGATGCCGCCACGCCTCGGACCGCTCCCGGGGTGCGTCCTGGCCAGAAGTGCTCGAGGCGAAGCCAGCGGTGGCCACGGGGGCCTCCCAGGAGGCCCCACAAAAAAAAAGAAAACGAGGAAGGGTAGCGGCACGGGCGCTGCGGATTATACAATAGAAGGGCGGTGGTCTGATCTCCTCTGGGGGAGGGTCTGCTTGGAGCTGTCGTGCAGGGTTCCAGTGGGGCCCGGCCCAACAACGCCGCCCTTTCGTGGCTGCTGGTGGATGGGGGGGGGTCTGAAACTGCTCCTCTGGGAGGGTTGAGACCCCCTCCCCTGCCGCGAAAAATCGCGAGTGTGCATTCTCTCCTCCTCCCGGGGCCGCGGCGTCCCCGCCGCGCGCCGGGTCCCAGCTCTGCGACGGGTCCCACGCGCCGGCGCGCCGGGGGCCGGCGCCCCGCCGCCCGCGGCCGCCCCGGGCCGCGGCGGCGCCGCGGCGGGCGGCGCCGCGGCGGCCTCCGCCGCCTGCAGCGCGGCGAGGGCGCCGAAGAACTGCTCGCGCGTCAGCTCGCCGGAGCCCCGCAGCCGCACCAGCGCCGCCACGCTCGGCGCCTCGCCGCCGCCGCGGCCGGGCCAGGCGCCCAGCGCGGCGGCCTGGGGGGGAGGGGGGGGGGGCAGATCGAGGGGGGGGGCCTGGCAAGCGAGAGGGGGCGCGGGGGGGGGGAGGCGGAGGGAAGGGGAGGGTTCTGGGGAGGGCCTTGTGGCAAGCATCGCGGCTGGCTCGCTCTCCCTCCCTCTCTCTCTCTATCAGTTTCCTTGTTTATGTCGTGCACGTTGTATGTGTCTCCTTCTGTCTCTCTCTCTCTCTCTCTTGCCAGTTCTGTGTAACCAGCTGTATGTTAAAAACGCATGCGCCTATACGATGTATGTATGTGTATAGCTATGTGTATATATATGTCCATACATGTATACATGTATACGACATACATATGTAGCTCTGCCTCTCTCATCCTCTCTCTCTCTCTCTCGCTCCGCATACAACATGGCGCGGTAGTGGTGAAATGGGTGGGCTGAAACGGGAAACTGCCACATTCTCATTTCAGCACGCGGATGCACCGCGTGGTTGCATGAACATGCTGATTATTGCCGAAAGTGCTGTAAACATTTAATTATCATGATATCTCAGCAGGCGCACGCGGGCAAAACATATGCATAATATGGAGGGAAGCCCGCTGGATGCTTTGCGTTTGTATATGGCAACCTGGCAACACTGAAGTGTTTGGTATGACTTCGACGTGTGTGCGCGTATGGGTGCAATGACATGTTGTGCGAGGGGCACGCTCTCTTTGGGTCAGGTCCCCACTACGATCGGGGGGGCCAAGGGTAGGATAGCAAAGGGCAGGGTAGATAACCAGCTCACGCAACCGGCTTTCCGAGCGCCCACTGGCGCCGGGAGGCGCCCGTGTATCGAGGAATGGGCCCCGCGGCGGGGCGGAAACCAGCTGTGCGCATAGAAGAAGAAACAACGCCATAAACATAAACTGTTGGCGCTCCGCGCTGATTTCTTGGATCCGCGCTGGACCCCCCTCCCTGGCGCGGTCTGAGCGCGCCAGGGGCGGCGCCGGAGGCGCTGCCAGGGGGGACCCCGCCGCGGATGCAAGAAATCCGCGCGGCACGCCCACAATGTATGTGTATGGCGTCGCTTTTCTCCTTCGACTGCAACTGATTTCGTACCCCCCCCTTTCCCTGTCCCCCCCCTTTCGCGCGGCCCGATGCGGGCCGGCCGGGTCGTCATGGAGGCGCCCGCCCTTCCGGCGGACACCTCGGCCCTGGCCCGTGCCGCCGGCGCGGTGCGCACCCCGTCCTTAGTAGGTACCCTCGGCTCTGACCCCACGGGACCGCGCGCTCGCCGGGGCCAGCATAGCCACCCTGGCGCACAACTGGGGGGGGGACAAAATCGGGGGCGCGCAAGCACGGCGAAGCGATCCGCGGATCTGGCGCGCGGTCGCCGAGTCCATGGATCGGGGAAGTGCCCTTTCCAAAATGCGGCCAGTGCCGCCGCGCTCGGTGGTGGAAATCCGCGATTTCCCGTGGAAACGGGACCCGACGCCAATCCACGCCCCCTTGATCCATGTTTGCGATCGTCTGAGAGATCATGCTCGTTCAAGGACCTGCTCGCACCGCCTCCCCCTGGCCCGCCTCCTGGCGTTGCGCTTGTAACAGCCTGGGTCGACGACAGAGACACCCGCTCCCGGCCCGAGCAGAGCCCAGCGCACTTCTCATGCCATGGCTGCCTGAAAGCGCCCTCTCGCAACAAGGACGGCGCGTGCACTACCGCCTGGGTCCTGCAGGGTCTAGCCCAGAATCGTCAGACGGAGTATCTACTGGGGTCGGACACCACCTTGCATTAAGTCGGGCCTGTCCCCCTACAGGGGGATTTTCGACGAAAAATAAAAATACCCCCAAAATGCAAAATTATCCCGGCAAAGCAACCTAACAGCGATGTGTAGAAGCATATCTGGAAGCATTCCCCTTAAGATTTAGGTAAGAATCCAGGTAGAATTCTGCTGTTCTCGCAGTCGCAGCCTCAGCCTGCCTCAGCTTGCCTCGGCCTCAGCCTCAGCCTGCCTCGGCCTCAGCCTCAGCCTCAGCCTGCCTCAGCCTCAGCCTCAGCCTCAGCCTGCCTCAGCCTCAGCCTGAATCAGCCTCAGCCTCAGCCTGCCTCAGCCGCAGCTTGTCTCAGCCACAGCCTCAGCCTCAGCCTCAGCCTGCCTCAGCTTCAGCCTCAGCCTCAGCCTGCCTCGACTTGCCTCGGCCTCAGCCTCAGCCTGCCTCTGCCTCAGCCTCAGCCTGCCTCAGCCTCAGCCTCAGCCTGCTCAGCCTCAGGCAGCTCAGCCTCAGCCTCAGCCTCCGCCTCAGCCTCCTCAGCCTCAGCCTGCCTCAGCCTCAGCCTCAGCCTCAGCCTCAGCCTCAGCCTCAGCCTGCTCAGCCTCAGCCTCAGCCTCAGCCTCTGCCTTCAGCCTCGGCCTCAGCCTCAGCATCAGCCTCAGCCTCAGCCTCAGCCTCAGCCTCAGCCTCAGCCTCAGCCTGCCTCAGCCTCAGCCTCAGCCTCAGCCTCAGCCTCAGCCTGCCTCAGCCTCAGCCTCAGCCTCAGCCTGCTTGGGCTTGCCTCGGCCTCAGCCTCAGCCTCAGCCTCAGCCTCAGCCTCAGCCTGCCTCAGCCTCAGCCTCAGCCTGCCTCAGCCTCAGCCTGCATCAGCCTCAGCCTCAGCCTGCCTCAGCCGCAGCTTGCCTCAGCCTCAGCCACAGCCTCAGCCTCAGCCTCAGCCTGCCTCAGCTTCAGCCTCAACCTCAGCCTGCCTCGGCTTGCCTCAGCCTCAGCCTCAGTTTAACCCGGCCTCAGCCTCAGCCTCAGCCTGCCTCAGCCTCAGCGTCGGCCTCTCAGCTTCAGCCTGCATCAGCCTCAGCCTCGGCCTCAGCCTGCCTCGGCCTCAGCCTCAGCCTGCCTCAGCCTCAGCCTGCCTCAGCCTCAGCCTCACAGTTGGCTCCGGGCAATCAAAATGTAGCCTGGGAATTGTGTTCTGGGAACACGAAGAACACGAATTGGCCTACAGTTGGCTCCGGGCATTCAAAATGTGGCCCGGGAATTGTGTTCTGGGAACACGAAGAACACGAAGTGGCCTACAGTTGGCTCCGGGCATCCAAAATGCGGCCCAGGAATGGAGTTCTGGGAAGTCGAAGAGCACGAAGTGGCCTACAGTTGGCTCCGGGCATCCAAAATGTGGCCCAGAAATGGAGTTCTGGGAAGTCGAAGAGCACGAAGTGGCCTACAGTTGGCTCCGGGCATCCAAAATGTTCGCCGGGAATGGAGTTCTGGGAGCGCCAAGAGCGATTTTGCGAGGATGTCCCAGGCGATTTGGGCTTCGGCGGCAGCCGCCCCGGGTCCCGCCCCGACCCCCCTGAGGAGTCATGATGCTCTCTTTTGACCCCACTAGAAACCTATCAGTCTTCGCTGTTAGGTAAAAAACAAAACAATAGTCCGAAAATAGTCTGGGGACTATTTGTTGAATAGTTGTTTGCCTTTTTGGTGTATTGTTATGTATTTTTTGTTTTTCGTCAAAAATCCCCTTGTAGGGGGACAGGCCCGACTTAAACCTTGCACTGCGCCAGGTGCTGGCTCTCCAAAGCAGCTTGCTCCAGCACGCTTGTCCCAGAGAGTCGGGAGATCGGCACCTGGCTCAGCGAG